TGCTATGAAATATCATGCACATTGAGATTTCCAATTCTCTTTTTGTTCCCCTTTCTCATGTTGCTTTGGCACATAAGTGCTTCTGCAACTTTTTCTGCTAAACAAAAAGAGAATTGGAAATCTCAATGTGCATGATATTTCATAGCACAGTAAACGGATGGTGAACTTTTAGAATTTAAGATGGGAGAAACTGTTTCACAAGTTTTAATTGCAAATTTCCCATTGTAAAGTAAGAGTTTTAATAGAGGGAAAGACTAGTCATTAGCGTAGCAATATCAAACTAAAACTTGAGAAGGCAACAGAAGAACAATGGCTGGAGAGTGAGTAAAGCCAAGGTTACTTCAGACAAAGCATGCTCATTTGTCAAAGTACTAAACCTAGTAATTATTGACACAGCTAACAAATTTATTTCAGCTCTCTTAGATAACAGTCAGGGAGCAAAGACAAAACAATTATGAATCTTATTCCCCAGCACCTGCTTGCTGCTTCCTGCTGCTAAAATCTGTACATGAAATAATGAGGAACATTACAACATGAACAATAAATGAACACAGCATTCAAGAATTTGTCAAACAATAAACAGTTATCACTTAAAATTTAGTGAAGGTTAACCTGAGCAACCATGTGTCTGCATAGAGAAATACAGCTTCTACATCATAATACTATGCAAAATGGAAACTGATATGCACTTGTCAATCAGGAACATTTCCTGTCTATATGAGGAAAGAATCCCTTTATCACATCCTCCAGCCAACATTAGTAAAACGTTAAGGCTGATATTTATGATCGGAAAGGGTAGATTAGTAACCGATTTGAAGATATAGGATGATTTATTTCAGAAGAGGCATTTCAAAATACATTAATCTCAAAATTGTGATCTGTGTAATTCCTATGGAGGGCAACTTGCAAACAAGTTTTAAAAGTCCATCAAGACCTTGATGCCAAAATCAGTTGAGATTTTAAAAAGAATTGGCTTAATTTAAAAAAAAAATTACAAAAGATGAACCGGAGTACACATATAAATGCCAAGTGTTTATATATTGGGAAGTACAAAAGGAAGAAGAGTTCACATTGTCTACACTCATCTTCACATTGTTTAGAATAGGTTTAATGGTGTAGTTAGGTTAGAGAAGAACTTACTATGCTCCAAAATAACTGGACAGTACAACTGATGAGAGGTCAGATCTAGTATGTCAACATTTTCTTTTGTCATAGATACTGCCAGACCGACTGAATATTTTCTGTTTTTGTAACTTCAAATGATGTTCCCAACCAGGGATTCAGTAGCTCTGTGAGCTACCATATTGTCGTTTAACTTCCATGATTAATGTTTTTTGATTTGATTTATTATTGTCACATGTACCTAGGTACAGTGAAAAGTTTTGTTTTGCATGTAATACAGGCAGTTCATAACATAGGAAGCACATTACAGTGATAGAACAGAGTGAAGAACAAAGTGATGTTACGGCTGCAGAGAAGGTGCACAGAGCGAGATGAGCATTAAATTTAAAATTGAGAAGTCCAATCTGAAGTCTAATAACAGCATTGAAGAAGCTGTTCTTGAATTTGTTCAAATGTGTGTTCGAGCTTTTGTAACTTCTGACCGACAGAAGAGATTGGAAGAGATTATAACTGGGTTGGGGAATGGTCTTTGATTATGTTGGCTGCCCTTCCTGTATTTACAACTCTCTGTAGTTTCTTATGATCCTGGGCAGAGCAGCTGCCATGCCAAGCTGTGATGTATCCGGATTGAATGCTTTCTAAGACGCATCTATAGAAATTGGTAAGGGTCATTGTGGACATGCCGAATTTACTCAGCCTACTGGGGAAGTAGAGGTGCTGTTGTGCTTTCTTGACTGTAGCATCAACCTGGGTGGACCAGGACAGATTGTTGGTGATCATGTAAATTCAATCCAGGTAGTTGGACAAAGGCCTCACTCTTCTGTCAGTTGTAACTTGCATATTGTTCTTGGGCAGTGAGAGTCACTCCTGAATGCAGCATTTGCTGTCCAGCCTTAATTACCCTCAATAAAGGTGGTGGAGATCTGACTTCTTGAACCACTGCAGTCCTTTTTGTCTAAGTACACCCACAGTGCCATTAAGGCAGGAAGTTCCAGATATTGACTCAGCGAAGGAACGGCGAAATGAGATGACAATGTAGTTTTGACAGGAACTAGGAGGTCCAAGTGTTCTCATGCATCAGCTACCTAGTCTTTCCAAATAGGTCAAGGCTTTGGAAGGTACTTTTCAAGGAACCTTAGCAAGTTGCTCTTGTAGATTGTACACACTGCTTAACAGCTTACGGGATGGAGTGAACATTGAAGATGAAGGATAAGGTGCTATCAAGAAGGCTTTTTTATCCTGGATAATGTTGAGATTCTTCAGTCACACTTCTGACAAGTATCTTGTAGAATGCGAACAGGAGGTGAGTTACGCAGATTTCCTAGCCTCTTGTCCTTGATGTCACAGTATTTTTAGGCTCATCCAGTTCTGTTTCTGATAAAATTTATCTCAGTATATTGAGAGCAAGAGATTCAATAATGATGAGGCATTTAGTGTAAGATGATTAGATTTAGTGGAAGACGATTAGATTTCTCTTTTTGGAAGAATTCATTACCTGTTACTTGATTGGTACCAATTTACTTGCCAGATATCAACCAAAGCCCAATTGTCATGCTGGTTCTACAGCTTGTGGACATGGACTGCTCGAGATTCTGCCAAGTTTCAAATAATACTGAACGTCTAGTACTAAATACTGAAACATAAGCAAATAACTTTATTCTGACTTTGACTTTTTAAATGGAGGAATGGAACAGCTGAAAATGGTGATGTAGTGATAAAGCCACTGGGCTCATAATTTCAGAAGCCCAAGCTAATGCTCTGACAACATAGTGGAGCTTAATTTCAATCAATAAAAATCTGGGATTGAAAGTTAGTCTGAACAATGGTCACCATGAGACTGCCATCAGTTGTCATATTTGAGTCACTAACGTCCTTTAAGGAAGAAAATCTGTTGTCCTTACCCATTTTGGTCAACATACTGCAGTTGCACATCAGTGTGGTTGACTCTTTACGATGCTGTGAAATGGCCTAACAAGCCACTCTGTTCAAGGGCAATTAGGGATAGGCAACACGTGTTGACCTACTCAGCAGCATTCCATTAAAGATTCTTTTTTAATCCCCAAATTAGGAAAAAGGAAAGAAATTCTGAGCTACGTCACTTGATTACTACCAACTATCACCTACTGACCATTGCTGAATGTATATAAAAGGTAGTCATTATAGCAAGAAAGAATTAGTCTAGACTTTAGGAAAAGTTGCATTTATACAGGACACCTTATGTCTTTGGGAAATACCTGAAAGCACTTTAGAGTCAAAGAATTGCTTTTGAATTTTAGGCCCTTTTATTTACTAACCAATTCACACAAACTAATACTCCACAAACTGTACAATGGTGAGAGTCAAAAGACCATCTACTTTGAGATACCGTGCTCAAGGAATAGTTCATAGAGCCTCATTTTAAAATTTTATCTTCAGGAACTACACTTTAAAAGTGCAACACTCCCTCTGTACTCCAGTGGAGTTGAGCTGAAATCATAGGCCTGGATTTTCCACTGGTCAGGCAGTCATTATTTCAGCATATATAGGAGTCGTGCATGTGGACCCTGCAGAATCCCAATTGCAGCACACAGTGAAGAAATTGCCCAGGAAACTGAACTTTCCACTTGGCAATTCTGTTATGCCTGGAACCTCTGAAAGTCTCCATTTTAATTAAAGTCTTTGCGTGGCTCCAATGAAATTAAGTAAAACTATTGCTCAGGAAAAATTAGACTATTAAACACATAGGCTACTGCTGAGTAACTCTTAAGATGAACCCATAAATTTACCACACACAAGCCAAATGACAACTACCCCAGACCCGAACCGATAAACCCCCTCCGTGCCTCCCCACTGCCTTCCAGACCCGACCTTCCCTGTTGCCGCAGGATCAGAAGTTCCCAGACTGGATACCCATTTACCTCTACGCCAAATCAAAATTCTCAAAATACAATATATTATTAACCTTTATCACATAACACAAAGTGCAAATCAACCTGAAAACAAAAAGAAAATTCAAAACCAAGAGTAAAACCTAAACCTGCAGGTTGTAGCTATAATGGTTGACAGGGTAGACGCTGGAGGATATCTCCTTTCATAGGGGAATCTACAGCTGGGGACACAATTTAAAAATGAGAGGACTCCCACTTAAAACACAGACAGGGTAATATTTTCTACAAGAGGAATTCTCTTCTCTAGAGAGCAGTGGAAGGCTGAGTCATTGAATTCATTCACATCTGATTCAGATAGATATTTGTTCAATAGGAACACACAGAAAAGTGAAGTTAAGTCAGAATCAGATCCACCATGATTTAATTGAATGGCAAAGCAAATGTTGGCAGACCGAATAACCTATTCCTGCATATACTTTTATGATTTCATACTTACTATTATGTGCATCTTAACTGATGTCCAGTGATATAGCTTAAAAATATCAGGATTCAAACAACATGGAAATAGTTTGAAAATAAATAAATTTCACTTATTTACTATATTTAACATCAATATTCTAAACATTTCAAAACACTTGGCCCATAAAATGAAATATCTAAACACTTGGCCCATAAAATGAAATATTTGTCCGAGAAATTGAGTGTCAATGCTTAAAAGCATGTACCACTAATGCTGCAAAGTGCATTGTACATTAATATTTGTACAAAGAGCTGCGATAATGGCATATACTGAAAATGAATCATAATGGCTGGAGTTAAAATAAGTTGCCAGCTAGATTTGGTCTCAAAACATGCCAAAAATGCAGCAATTTATTTTTATTTTAGCACCGACCCACAAAATATGTGTGGTCAAAATACTAAAGTTGACCAATATAAAATATTCACATCAGGAGCTTAATAGGGGTTTGAAAAAGCACAATGATCTTGAGAAAGAAGCATTGAATTAAAAGATATTATCAAATCAACTACAATTCACCAACTGTCTCTAACAGTATTCAAGAGCAGTGATTGCAAATACAGTAAAAGCATTGAGCAGAAGTAATTTAGAGATTGTTAGGTTCTTAAGTTTTCAACTGACCTAGCCTCAACAAGGAAAAAGTTTCTCTTTCCCTTTATGAAGAATTGCAACCTGACATCACTGTCTGAATGACGTGGTTCTAACATTAAAAGTTATGTCCCTAAAGTAAAACAAAGAACTGGGGATTCTGGAGATCTGGAACAAAAACAAAGATTGACGGAGAAACTCAACAGGTCTGGCAGCATCTGTGGGAAGAAAGCAGAGTTAATGTTTTAAGTCCAATGACTCTTCATCAAAACTGTTAGTTGCTCGGAAAAAAATGGTATTTATGTTGAAGGTGAAGTTGGGAGGGGTATTGAGAAGGGGAGAGATGAACAGATAATTGGAGACAGAACTAAAAATCACTCAGTCTTATGTACTCCTAGGCTCATTTTCGCACTACATGGATTGCATTAAGAACAGCTCACCTATTTTCTCACTCTTAGCTCTTCTTCGTCACTTACTCAGCATTTCTTTTGCCCTGCTATTCATAATCCCCTTCTTTATCTACCCCCTTCATATCTCTCTCTCTCTGCGCTCCATCTACACCTATCCATTCTCCTCGCCCCTTTTCATTCATATTCATTTAAAGGGATGTGAGGTTCACTGACTAGGGCAGCATTCATTGCCCATGAAGATGGTAGTAAGCTACTTTCTTAAACCACTACAGATTTTGAGGTGTAGAAATATCCACAGTGACATTAAGGAGACAGTTCCAGGATTTTGACCCAGTAAGAGTGAAGGGATGGTGTTATATTTCCAAGTTAGGATGGTGTGTGGCTTGAAGGAAAACTTGCAGGGGGCAATGCTCCCACGCATCTGCAAGTACAGCTAGACAATTGTACACAATCAGTGAATTAAATCAATAATTGTGATCACCATTTGTATTTGCCAATAAGGTCCCAGAAGCCAGGTCTGGTTGTGTTGCAGGGCCCCAAGGTTGCTTGCTTGTAGTAACTGTAGAACTTCAGCATGAGCTCATTTGATGGTTGAAATGAACCTATTTAATAAGACATTTGAAAAACCTAATTAGACTAACATTTTCACTTTTCAAAAATCAACTAAATCTTAATTAAAACAGCTGCAAATCACATTGCAAATGGAATGTAACTGCAAGAATACTAACAAATCTTCTACAAAATATTATATCAAAACAGAAAGTAACAGAGTCAACAAGTGCCCTGCCTAATTGGCACATTTGCTGTTACAAACTAATGCATTACAGTCTAACAATTTTCAATTCACAGTAGAGCTGACAAGGTATTGATCTTTACCAGGATGGTTCAATACAATTCTTCATTTGGCTAATTGGGAATCTTAACTTGGTTAGTGCAATTTTGATTAGTAAAATGAACAACACAGATCATAACTGGAGGATATGTGAACTTAATACTCATTCACATATTCACCTGCGTATTGAACATTTATGCAAGTTTGTTACCAAAATGAAAACGTATTTAAAATTAGAGAGTGCGAGAGTTTTTGATCATTGTGTTTTAGCTTTATTTTCTTGCCTCCTGTTTAAGAGCATCTTTTAAGAACAGTGCATAACGTGTGAAAACTACTGATCTACAACACCTTGGAAGCTATGAATGCTGACCCTATAGAAACTGCCAAGGAGTCATCAGTTGTGGAGCTTTAACTTCCTGGGCACTGCTGGGAACAGTCTGGACTTACCTATTTGCCACATCAGCAATCTTCCCCATTCCATAACCTGGCAATTGCCACAGTTCAGTAATGTTATTATTGTGGTAGGAAAGTTAAGCTAATTCCCCATAAGGATAGTAGGTAAGGATCTTGATCGGTTCATAGATTCTGGATTGGGGAAGACTGGGAAGGAGGCAACGTAGAGAGGATGGAATGAACTGGGGATAAAAATTACTGCGTTTAAAGAGGGTAAAGAGGCACTGAGGGCAAGGGATTGTGGCTTGGAAAGGAGTACCAGCAATTGGGGAGAGATGAAGATTGGAATCAAGTTACTTGGGCAGACAGGCGAATGAGTCAGGTGTGGGATAAGAACTAGGTGTAGGGGTAGGCAATTCAGTCCCTCAGACTTGCTCTGTCATCGGATATGATCATGGCTGATCTCATCTTGACCCCAACTCCACTTAATAAAAAATGAAAGAACTGTGGATGCTGTAAATCAGGAACAAAAACAGAAGTTGCCGTTTGGTCTGGCAGCATCTGTGAAGGAAAAAACAGAGTTAACATTTCGGGTCCGGTGACCCTTCCTCAGAACTGATGATGGCTGGGAAAACTGATGTTATATAAACTGATGCTTTTGTTCCTAACTCCACTTGCCTGCCCACTGTCCATAACTCTTCAACCCATTACTAATTAAAAATCCGTCTCCTACTTAAATTTACTCAGTGCTCTAGCATCCCCAGTAACTGCAAAGTGGAGAGTTGGAATGGCATTAAAAGAATTGTGCTAAGGATACTTGTGGTGCAGTGGTAGTGTCCCACCTGTGAGCCAAAAGGCCTGGGTTCAAAGCCCACCTGTTCCAGAGGTATGAAATAACATTTCTGAACAGGTTGACTAGAAAATATCCAAAACATAAAAATGTTGTGCTTGAGTTTACGACAAATAAATACTGAGACATTGCTTCCACTGGCAATTGAACAGGGAACTCATATACATAAAGTGAAGTAGCCTACTGGAAGCATTAAAAGGAGAAAGAGAGAAGCAAAGATTTTGAACAGACAACAGCATAAGTGAACATGTCTTTCATAAGATAATAAGAAATAGCAAACAAGTATAAAAGAAGCATTTGGATAAGTACTTAAAAACCCAGGGAATAGTAGGCTATGGACCAAGTGCACGTAAATGGGATCAGTGTGGTTTTTTTGTTTGTTGTTTGGCATAGGCATGGTGGCTCGAAGGGCCTGTTTCTATGCTGTATAACTCTATGACTATAACATTAAGGAAGTCTCGCTACTACTGTACAGGATATCAGTGAAACCACATGCAATTTTGGTCACTTGACTTAAGAAGTGATGCACTTGTTCTGGAGGCAGATTACAGAATGTTGACTCGACTGCTGGAATTAATCTGGTTTGTCTTACCAGGAAAGTTTGAACGGATTGAGCCCACACTTGTAGGAGTTTCAAAGGACAGGAGAGGATCTTATTGAAACCAGCATTCTGTGGGGACTTGACAAGGTTGACACCTACTGCATGTTTCTCTTCATGGGGGAAATCTAGAACTAGGGGACACAATTTCAAAATAAGAGGATTCCCCAATTAAGACAGAAATGAGAAAGAATGAATTCTCTTCCCCAGTGAATAATGGAGGTTGGGTCATTGAACATATTAGCATCTCTTTCCAAAATATCAAATATCCTTGAATAGTCAAGTCCCACCCATATCCCTAATCACAATCATTCTGTCCCCACTTGTTACTATAAACAAAAAAAAAGCCTTCAATTCTGTTTTATCACCAGTTTTGGCTATTCTAACCTTAAGATCATAAGACATAGGTACAGGTTGGCGTGGGCTTGGTGGGCTGAAAGGCTTGCTCTTGTGCTGTATTGTTTTGTAATGTTCATTAGTCTTTGCTCTAGAAGTAGGCCATTCTGCCCATTGAGTCTTCTCTTCCATTCAATTAGACCATGGCTGGCTAATCTGATAATCTTCAACCTCAGTATCTTATTTTATCCACATAACCCTCAATTTCCTTGCTATTTAAAAATACACTTAATGACCTAGCCTCTCAAGCTCTCCTCATCTCTGTCTTTAATGGGTGACCGCTTTGACATTTTTTCCTGTGGTCCTAGAATTTCCCCAAAGGGAAAATGGCTCTCCATATATTTGCTGTCAAGTACCTGAAGAATCTCATGCAATAATGTTTCCTCTCATTTTGCTAAACCACAATGAGTATGAGCCCAACCTGCTTAACCTACCCTTATAAAGAAAATCCCTCCACACCTGGGATAATATTAGCGAACCTTCTCTGGATTACCTCCAATGTTAATATCTCTCTGCTTTCACAAAGGGGAACAAAACAGTAAGAAAGCAAGAAAATATGTAGCATCTTAACATTTCTTTTCAATTATGGAAAATCACAATGTTATGGATGTCAAAGCAAGATAATATTTGATCAAATATCTCATTCCCCATAGGAAGCAGTGGATTATCTAATGCACAACTATAACTCTGTTAGGTAAATCAGGCAGAGGAAGGCAATTTATCCCATTACAGTTGTGAAATTTAGAAGATTATGCTTTAGGATATGTCTTCATTTACAAGATCACTATATTTTGGGAGTGCAAATATAAATAGAGCAAAGGAGTTGTGTAATCTTTGTTGGAGTCTGCCTGACAGTAATCCGAAGTCATTGAGTCATAGAGATGTACAGCATAGAAACAGAACCTTTGGTCCAATTGTCCATGCCCAGATGTTGAACCCCATTTGCCAACATTTGGCCCATATCCCTCTAAACCTTTCCTACTCTTATACTCAACCAGATACCTTTTAAACATAGTAACTGTACCAACCTCCACCACCTCATCTGGCAGCTGATTTCATACAAGCACCACCCTCTGCATGAAAATGTTGCCCCTTAGGTCCCTTTTAAATCTTTCCCCTCTCACCTTAAACCTATGCCCTCTAGTTTGGGACTCCCATACACCTGGGAAAAGACCTTAGCTACTCACCCTATCCATGAGCTTCATGATTTTATAAACTTTTCGAAGGTCACCCCTCAGCCTCTGATGCTTCAGGGAAAATAGCTCCAGCCTATTCAGCCTCTCCCTCTAGCTCAAACCCTCCAACCCTGGCAATATCCTTCTAAGTCTTTTCAGAATCCTTTCAAAGTTTCACAACACCTATCCTATAGTAGGGAGACGAGAACTGAATGCAGTATGCCAGAAGTGGCCTAACCAGAGTCATTTAATTGTTACAGGCCTGAGGAAAACTGAGATGGTTTTATTGAAAGAGATGAGATGGAAGGTTTTCATTCTCAGAGACAATGCCAGCAGGTATGGAGCATAGCATGATTAGCCCCCAAAACTTCCAGAAAGGTATTATAATTCTAAGTACTGATACTGTAACTACGCCTTACAAGATTAAAAAGAATTTGACTCAAAGATGACTAATTAAATCAGTATCCAAAACAGCGATAATAATGTCTCCATTGCTATGGGGAAGATGAAACAATTTTTGAGATTAAGTTACAGGCTTTCCTATAAACACGAGCAAATCACAGACAAACAAATTGTAGTTTTGTCTTGGCCATAGAACACACAACTGGGAAATTGACAGCAAGCAAGAAAATTAAATCTGGCCTACAATTTAAGCAGAGAGAACGCTAGCTCAAACTTCACTATGCAGAACTCACAGCGAAAGGCAGTCCTAGAATTAGGAGTTAACCAGTTAGCAAGGTAAAAGGGAAGTAATCATAAACTGTTTGCCATAAAATACTTATACTTCTGCACAGGTTGTGTTTATAGGAAAGCCTGCACAGAGGGATAAGGAGAAGTAAAGTAAAGAAAAGAAAAGCAGTTTAGTTGCCTACAAAAGAAAATGCTTTATAGTAAATGATTTTTTACCAGTCATTTCCTACTATAAAAACAAGTAAAATGTAAAGTCTTGATGTATCATTGTTTCAGCTAACACGTGGAAATGCAAATTTCTCTTTAAAATGTTGTTGCTGGCTACAGAGATTGTAACAATCGACACAAGCTCACAGAACGGGTCTATAAAAGTTTTGGAAATATTGCTAAGTACAATCACTTTAAATTAACTACTGGAAAAAGCTATAATCAGCTTAAGGAATCTAATTCTGAAGATATATCATGAATTTGTATAACTTATCATAAACTCAACTCCAAATTTATAATGCGCAGTCACCATTGAATTATAGTGAAGAAACTGAACTGTCTTCAGAACTCCATTTACATTGTCAAGTAACCCTGTCTCTGGTATTCTCAATTCTTATGTTTTGCTCATTGATATTCTAACGTTAATAAACAATTGGTCAGTTCACAATTCTGATGTCTGA